TGCTTGCCTAGTTGACCCTTCGACCATATGTTTCTTCAGGCCGAACTTCAATCAAGCCATTCGATGGCCCTAATTCGACCTATTAGTGCTCTCTGTATCCCTAACATCCTCTTCAATATGGGGATCATTCACCTGATTGTCCACCCAGTTCGATTCTGCTATTTTCCAAATCTAGTCAACCTGGTATCTTATCTCATAGTACCCCAGATCCACACCCCACACACAAGGAGTAAAAATGAAATCAAAGGCCTCTGAATCTCATGCCAAAAAGCATAGATCGGGGGAGAGACTATCGGAAAAAAGTGATGGCCATGGTGAAGATGGAGCGGCGATGCTAGCCGCCGTCAGAGATAACAGAGCGACGACAATTTGCTCTTTTTTTTTTCAAGAGAGATGATTTCTTTGAGATAAAATTGTGGCTTAAGAGATTTGTGATTCTTAAAAAAAGTATTATCCATTACGTAAATATATAAAAACTCAAAATAGCTTTCCTCATTCGTATTTCTATTGTTCGAGGAACAAAAAGAAAAAAAATTATACTCATTCGAGTTATACAGGTAAGTGGAGAACCACTATTGAGTATTCGTATTGAATATGTTTATAAAAATATAGCTTTACTCAACCTCTACCCTAGTGGGATTTTTTCGGCTGTGCCACAAAGTACGACACGTGTGCAACCTGCACCCTATCATGCGCCCTCATTCATTCATGGGTGCTTTTCCTTTCGGTACAGTACATACAGTACCCATCATCAGTATAAAAAAACAAACAGCGCCTAACGACCAATCAGATTGCAGCAGGCGAATCAAAATCAGATCCCATTTTCGTAATTAAACACCAACTCCAGTGGCTGAAAGCTAAGGAAACATCCCTAAACCCTAATAGATATTAATTGAAAAATATTAAATTAAATATATTATTATTAATCAGAATCTCAAAATCCTAAAAAGTGGGGCCCGCAAGTTTTGCCTGCCTGACGCATGACATGATATGGCAATGTGCCTTTGAGTCGCTACTTAAAATAGACACATTATTTACTTTTTTTTATTTTTTTCATAAATTTCTATTATTTGAAATTAGATATAATGTTTTTTTTAATTAATTATAATAATTAATATTGGGTTCAATTTTCCTCATTTAAATTGGGTAACAAACTAACAATTATCAAAGCATAATAATCATAAAGTTACAATGATCT